TAATCATACATATACTTTGTACTACATTTTTTTTATTGTTTGTATTAAATATTACCTAATTGTAATGATGTTAATGTAAACAATAATTTTAGTTGCATATTGTATTTTTATACCAATTTTGTACTTAAAACAATAAAATAGTTTAATATTACTTAATTTCATAATCATAAATAAAATTTTCACCCACCTATTAAAGTTCTTTGGAACTGGGAGTTCCCTTTATGCGATTTATAGTGTCTGACTTCTATCAAAATTCTTTAGACTCCCAATTTTTTAGATCTATAGAAACTTGGCAGCAACAATAGAGGAAATAGAGTAAAATAAGAGTAGAATACCAGATATCTGCAATAAATAACAATCAATAACATTTTCCTTTATATTTTTAAATAATGAATTTAAAATAATTTTAAAAGAAGATATTACCGTGAAATATCCTATAAATGTAGATGTATCCTACTTCTTCGCCAGCAAAAAAATAAAAGTTCGATATTACTGACATTGCTAGTAAAGGACTTGTTAAAACACAATGAATTCTTCTGGCACTTATTGGCGACATATATTTTTCCCGAATGTTAATGCAATATTTACTTTTTTCAATTAACTTCGTTAAGTTTTCAATGTTTAATCCTATAAAATTAAGAAACGCCCAAATAAAAATATTTATTTGCATTCCATGCCAAACGAAAACAAATATAAAGCACAGAAATGAAGCAAATAATTTATTGAAATTCGATTTTAACAACGGTGTATAAATATATCTGAAAAACATGAATACAGTACTTCTTTTTACCAATTATATCTTTTTAATAATTCGGAAGAATTGTATATTGTTTTTGAATACTATACCTTATAAGAAATTTGTATAAACCCTCATCAAAATATTTCCACATATCAGAATACAAATGAATTCTTGCAACACATTTTGGCTGGGAAGGGGCTTTAATGCGATCAATTGCACATACGATATGATTTAAGCCATATACTACGACATATTTAATTAGAAAAAATTGACCCATGCAATATCCTAATCCATATAAAGCCCATGGATTTAAATCTTCAACAACCTAATACAAGAAGTAAAAAAGGACTGTTTTAATTACATTTCTACATTTTATTAAATATTAATTTTAGTAAATATGTAAACACAGAATGTGTTGCTTTACCTTAGGATGATAATGCATTGCGTTAAAATACAGAAAATGTAAAAAGAAATTAGCAAATAATATCCAAAATGTGTATCTGATTAAATTTAGAGCAAAATATCCAAGTTCAGCTAACTTCCAGGCTTGAAACGGTTTTTTTATCTGTAACAGTTTACACACTATTCATAATAAAGAATTTATTGAATTACATAAGTAATAAAAACATACTTTTACATACAGAATCAATGAAGTCATGGTATAAAATCAATGGTCCTAATTGTAATGTAGGCAAATATAAGGAGTATGCTAATGCCCACAAGAAACCCTTTATGAAATATGATGTATCTGTGTAATTGTTATCCACACTTATTTGTTTATTATCTATACTGCAGCTAATGCTTCTTAATTGAATCCAACACATAGTAAGAGTTAGAAGATAATGTTCTTCATCGTTCAGTTGTAGCATACTTTGAAAAATGCCATCACGAATTTTAAGGAAATGTATCAAGAATAAAAATAATGTATTTATGAACCATATAATATGGTCTTTGTGTTTATAAGTTAGAATATACAGTATGCTTGGTTGAATTAATGCACATAATGTCCCTAATATACCAATAGAAAAATATAAGAATGAAACAGAAGTGAAAATGTACCAGTAACATAATAGCTGTAAAAATATGATTAATTAACAAATAAGAAAGAAACAGATTAATAGATTAAGAAGTATCAAGATGTCAAACCATAGTATTTGGTAAAGCTTTTATAATATAGCTAACAGAGTGATGGAGAAATATCCATGGCATTAATCTAACTATTAATGGCATCCATGTATTCCATTCCTGATCTGAAACATCTTGTTTCCTTCCTAGCCATATCCATCCTTGTGAAAAATCATTATAGATATCATGATAATCATTAAAGTCTAAAAATTATAGATAACATTACACAGTGAAATTTTTATGTTAAGAATTAACAGTTTTTGATTCTTACAAGTACTAAATAAAGACACTTTATAAATAGAATAAAAGACAGCACTAGTCCAACAGAAAAAGTAAAACAAACTTTCACATCTTGGTAAGTTTGTAACTCTGTTTGTCACTGCTGTCATTATTAATTGCAATTGAATTTGCCGCCTTTCTTGTGTTTACAATCTTCAGAGTTTAATCTGAAAATATTTCACGTTCAATTCAATTCAATGTCCTAATCCAATTTATGCATTTATGTATACGAAATTGTCCACATCTGAGTTTTCGGTCTGCCAATGAAATAACTTATAAATTGCAAAGATCCAATACGTTTGGATTTCACGTTAGCAGAATTGTTAAGAGTTTCGAATCCAGGACAGAAATGAATCTGTGAGGTCAATTTTTTTTATCCAAAACGTGGGTTAAATTGCCGTTCCAAAAAGTTCCAAATTGCTGCCTGCTGCGATGACAGGACAGCACTACGACAGACGACATTGTTCCCAAATAGAATGACAACACTATCAGGCACGCCGAAAACCCGGGACTCGGGCATGGACACTCTTATTTCCTCTGTTAAAACTACAATATTCTTTTAAAAAATCAAATATGATTATTTCAAAACGATTTGTTCCTTTACTTAAACAAATACGTCTAAAAACATGGTTAAGCAAAATACAATCAAATTGGTAGAGGTAACAAATGACAATAAATCATGTGTGATGCAGCAATAAACCATACCTCGATTGAGGTTAAATTTGAAACTGACTTTCTCTTGTTTGAAACAACATACTCTTATTTATTTTTTCCTCGAACACACAGGAAGAAAACAAGTTCAAATTGAAAGAAAATTTTTTATATTCTATCAATTAAAAAAAACGAAATAAAATAAAAAATGATTTTTTCTAAATGTGAGTTTATTTTTGGAAGATAAGACAGATGTATGGTAATATGCATGATGTGCATTAAATTGATCGACTGTAATTACACACAATTTAAGTTCACGTACAAAAAACAATTCCTTTTTATATATTCACATAAAGAACAATTGGGCAATGGTCACTACCATAGACCTTGTCCCTTATAACATTGTCGCAAACTTTCTCTTTAATTCGTTCTGACAGCAAAAAATAGTCCAGTCGCCTAAAAAAAATATAAAGCAACGTGAGCATAATTACTTACCTGATTTTAGCAATATAAATATTTGTTCTTACTTACCATCCGATATTCTTACTACGTGCATTTGCAAAGTACGACCAGAATGTGTAAACACCTGTTTTATCTGGATACAGGGCTCTAAATGTATCAACAAATCCATCTTGCAAAAAATCAGTCATACCTTCTCGTTCTTCCTTAGTGAACCCAGCATTTTTTGTATTTGTTTTTGGATTTGTAAGATCTGTGCACATTACAAAATGTGTTATTTTTTACTCTATTAATGCCCATAATGGTCACGACAAAATATATGTTACCTATTTCTTGATGAGCAACATTCATATCACCACAAATAATCACTGGCTTTTTTTCATCTAGGTTTTTAATATAGGTCTTAAAAACTTGATTCCACTGTAATCTCTTTGGTAATGTTACTAATTTTTGACCAGCATTAGGAACATCTAAGACATTAATTAATCACTGAGTATTATAAACATCCATGAAAAAGGCTATTTAGATTAATCCGTATTATATAACTTACAAACATTAACAACGAAAAAGTTTGGATACTCTGCAGTAATTAATCTGCCTTCATTATCAAATTCACTGTTATTCAGGCCATATTTTACTTCAATTGGCTTCTCTTTCGAATACAGTGCTAATCCACAATATCCAGGTTTTTTACCTATTTGCATAGCACAAATAATTTTAATACTTTTGCATATTTCAAGTTCATGTACAATAAATTAAAAAAATTATTACTATCAAGAAAATAACGATGATATCCAGTTAATTTTACTTCATCTGGTATTTTGTCTTTATCGCATTTAGTTTCTTGCAATGCTACTATGTCTGCATCTTCTTTTTCAATGTATTTCATTCCATTTTTCTAAGTATATAATAGTACTAGAGCATTATTAAAGTTTTCTTAGAAATTAGAGTATCAAATATAATAAGTTTTTTACCTTAAGAACTGCTCTGATTCCAGAAACATTCCAACTAGAAATTTTAAGATTATATTTATTTCCTTCTGCATTTAATTTATCACAATCAAAATTGATTTCATCCAAGTTCGACTCAGTCTTATTCATCATTTGCTTTGGCTCTGTTTTAGCTCGCTTTGCAGCAGGCTCCTCAATATCATTGGCACTGCGTTTAGATCGTTTAGGAGTTGCATCTTCAGATTTCAATGTTTTCCCTTTCTTTTTCTCAACTTTAGCTTCTACAGAATCTGCCTAAATTTAACAATACTTATTGTATTTAAAGAAAATATAAAGTGTAACATTCCATGTTACAATTAATATGTTACAATCATGTATTTAAATCAGACTTAAATCTACGTCGTCGGATCACAAAATAATGAATGAACTCGAGGAAATAAATTATATGCATTACTAACCTTTCGAGCTTTAACTCGTTTTGGCGGCATACCGGTTACTTTTGTATACACGCAGAAATTGCTTAAAGAAGTGAAAATACTTTAATATATATATTATATATATGATATAATAACGACAAGTATATTCTTTGGTTTACAGCTTTCTCATTCCACTACGTAATTAATTACGAATTTTAAGACTTCATGGACACGTTTGATGAAGGCACAGTCATTGCCTGCACGATATTCAATGAAATTTGAAAACAGCGCCGAAGCACAAAGCATTCACACAAACATAGACTATAATATTTTTATATACTGTAAACAACATATTGAAAAGTATACCGACTGTAAATTTTATTCTTTTCTACATCGAAACAAATAATTAACATTAGTAGTAATTTCTAAAATTATCTTGATTTGTGCGTTTCATGCTAAATATATATATGTGAAGTATACATGTACATAATTTATAAATGGAACATTTCTGCATTTTTCTTAAATAAATATATAATACATTTTAAAAACCACCATTTTATTGCGCATCCAATCAGCAGTGGATCCTGTCTCAGCAGCAAATCGTCAGTCAATTAGAGCAAAAAAAATTTCTATGTACATAGTTCTTCGCTAACAGATCAAGCTGCAGCCTCGAGATATGGAGTAATAGCGTAACTCTGTGTATGCTATATGCTATGATTCGGAATTAACTGCACATGACAGAGACAGAGCATCTTTGGAGACAGCTTTGAAATGTGCTGCAAAGTGGCATCATCCAATCCCATTTCTGAGATCTTTCCTGCAAGCACATTTCAGAGCAGAGCTCTTAGGCGCCTGACCGTTCGTGAAATTTCCACTCAAGACCAGTGTGTCCAATAGTGTCAGGAATTCTGCTCGGAATTTGCTCCAAGTGGCGGAAAAGAGACCTCACAAATGGGATTGGACGATTCCATTTGTGAGGTCTCTTTTCCGCCACTTGGAGCAAATTCCGAGCAGAATTCCTGACACTATTGGACACACTGGTCTTGAGTGGAAATTTCACGAACGATCAGGATGCTGGGAGTTCTGGTTCTCGATTACTGAATACACGGTTTCTGTCATGTGAGCTCTGCTATATGTAATTGTATAGCAGTATTCGTACATTATGTTCACCTTAGCTTGCTAATTATTGCATAGATATTAATGAATTTACGTTCGTATATAATCGTTTAAAGTAAAATACACATCAAATTACCAAATTTAATTAAACAAAACATGTTTAGCAATAAAAAAAGTAACTTACCACCAAGACCTAATATTCCCAATCCTGTGCATATGTTGGAAGATCTTGATCATGCTACTGCCGATGATATAGCATTTAAAATAATAAATAAAGGTTTAAATATATTTTATCGAAAACCTGAAATGACTATTAAAATATAATAGTATATGTATATTTCAAATCGTAACTTTATCTTGAGGTTAACACGTAAATTTCAGCACTATTATTTATAAATCTGTTTTTAGATGAAATTACTGGAGAAAATTTAAGCTCGAATTCTTCTGATACGTATCAGAATGTTAAAATGTATTTGAATATTAAAGAGCAATTACAACATCTGGAAACCACTCTTCAGAAGAAGGAGGAACAATTAAAAACAGATAACGAGGAGATAAAAAGGCTAGCAGATGATATTAAGAAACAAGCACAAGCTGCATTAATAACATAAATCTTTTTGTATTTACCAATTACATTTTAATCATTATAACATTATTTCTCTTAAGAAAA